GCAGGTCCTCCATGAAGACAGGTGTCCTAGTGAGGCCGAAGAAAGGGTTGCTGGCCTGGGCCCTGTGGTAGGTAGGAGAGTAGAAACCTAAGAGGCTTTGTTGCCTGCGGCAGGAAGAACGAGTGACTGAGGTACTGGTCCTGTAGCAGCTAGAGCAGCAGTTCTCGACCTGTTGGTCACAACCCCGTGTGGGGTCACTTACCAGATATTTACATTACAATTCATAGCGGCAACAAAATTTCAGTTATGAAGTAGCCAAGAAAATAATTCTATGGTTGGTCACTGCAACTGTAGTAAAGGTCGCATCATTCGGAAGGTTGGGAACCACTGAGCGGTCAGGGTGAGGGGACAAAAGTGTGCAGCGGGCTGGGAGCCTCTGGGGATGTGGTAAGAGTACCAGGAAAGCAAGGGCAAACTCATTCCCATCTTCAGGGTGCTGTTCCCCACTCTGTGGTCTTTTCTGCCTGGTGCTGCAATGACCCTCTTCCAGTTCCAAACCTTCTAGAAGTCCTGAGAGCACAAATCCTGTATGAATAGTCTGGAGGAAGGGGGTGAGAGAGTAGGGGTACTGTGAGCAGGAGGGAGGGGTGGGGGGGGAGGGGTACTGTGAGCAGGAGGGAGGGGTGGAAGGCAGGGAATTGGATCAGCTCAGCAAGTGCAGCAGCCAGGACAGAGAGAGCTTTCCCAGGCTTTAATGTGACGAGTGTACCTAAGACACGGTAAGCTTGTTATTCTTGTTTCAGTCGTTGAATGAATATCGCACATGTCATGGTTCAAAGGTCAAAGGGCTTCAAACAGGAGCAAGGAAAGGAAAACTCTCTTCCCACACTTACTCTTTTAGAGACACCTGCTTCCCCTCCAAAAGTCAATGAACCCTGCTCTTTCAGCTTTATGATTTGACAAGAGATAAACATGAAAAGATCAGTGTTTCCCATTTACACAAACGAAACACTAAGGACACTGCACTTTCCTTCTCTGCACTGGCTCTCCTCGTCCTGGGGCCGCCTGCCACGCCTGATACGGTGTGGCTGCCGTGGGATTCATGAAGGTTGTTTTCTGACATTTACTACCACCAGAAGTGGTGAAATGAACGAACCGGACATAACTGGGGCTGACCATCCAAGAGCAGTGAACTGAACAAGTAAGCATAGTGCTGAATACCGTGAAAGGATCACGGACAGGAATGAGCATGACGTCAGTGGAGCTAAGCACTCCCACAACAGGGAGAGAATGAAAACCATAGGACCCCGGCTTTGCACCCTGGATCCAAGACTTCGAATTTGGAAGTGCTTTGTTTCCAGTTTTTGGATTAGAGATGAAAACTGCTACTCTACCCCTAACCTGAAAAATCCCTGATTCCCAAACATCTTGGGCAAACGTTATTCAACCTGTACATTATTAAAAGTGCTTTCCCTGCCTCATGGGTACTCACTGTCTTTTCCCGTCAAATGCAGGTGCCCTTTGCTACATCCATCTGTCTCCCGTTAATACACACGCGCTTGCCGTGTTATTTATTTGATTTGGGGGGAAGCATCTGGTGAGAAGGGTTGGTCCTTATAGCTGGAAACAGTAATGCGTTCTCAAAATCAGGCCTCGGAGAGGCTGAGTGGTTTTTAGCATCCACGGAGAGGATGGAGGACAAATACAAGGGCTTGCTTAGAGCAATAGGGCAAAGGGATGGGATGAGGTCCAGCTGCTCAGCAGAATTACAATGCCCTGAGTGTGGGCTGGGGAAGCCTGCGCTCACCTCTTCGTCCTGCCACTGTGCACCGTGCAGCTGGAATAAGGCAGGCACAGAGAATCCCGCCTGTGAATCTGGCAAAGAGGCTCAGTCTCAAGTGGGAAACCGTTTCACGTGTGTGCAATCTGGGTGTTGAATCCCAGTGTTATTTATAGGCTGCCCATCACACCATATTCTAAAGACCAGTAGATAATCTACGTGTGGTATAAATTCTAAACTACATCTCACACAAGCGATTGCACTAGGCTGACCATTTTAATTAAATGCACTGGGGGGGGGGGGAGCAAAATAAGCCACATTTTAAAAGAATCGTAATGTTTAAATAAAGAATCATAGCGTTTACCTGCTAGCAGGGGGTGAACCCTTACAGCTTTATTCCCTCTGCGGGCTCCCCATCCTCCCCACCGCATCTGCAGTTACTAAAGTCAGATCCATTGCTAACAACCTGGACAGGAAGTAAATCTGGACACCACTCAAATCTGATGGCAGAGGTAATGTATCTCATTTTTCCAATTAGCACTGTTAATGCTTTTGGATCCGCCAACAGCATAGTCTTTTCTAGATTTACTTGGGAAAGAAATCAATAAAAGAAACGGGTGAGGAACATTTGAGCACTGGGGAATGGGCGCGCTGGATTTGAGCAAGGCTGGGAAGTCAATTCATCCCACTCATTAAAACCTTTAAGGCATGCCATTAACTGAAGCAGACAAGTACTGCAGGCTCCACTCAGTCAATCCACTCAAGTTCCCACTAGCTCTTCTCCAGTCCCTGCCGCCATGGCAACAGGCCCGTGCCCTGCCCTGAAGGGGCAACAGGATCTCTAACCACACAGAAGCTTTTCCTAATCATGCTCATCAATACAGGTCATGGAGAAAAGGTTAGATAGATTCTTATCAAGTTGGTTCACAAGCTACTAGCAAAGTGAGTGGCCAGCAGCAAGTGACCGGACCTAGTGTCCAGAGTATTTCCCAAGAAAGCCAACCACATAATTAGTGTCCAAGAAAATGCACACTGTTGACAACTGTCCATCCTATCTCTTACTGAGAATGGACTTCTCTGAACATCCCCCTTCCTTCCTCACCAGCCACCTCCCTAAAGTAAAGGACTATTGGCTGGATCACTCAATCTGATTATTAATTAGACGACTCATTTCTCTAGGCCCTAGAGTCTAGGGGAAAGTGTGTTGGCTAGATTTATGTCAACTCGACAAACTATAGTTATCTGAGATGAGCAAACCTTGATTGAGAAAATGCCTCCAGAAGATGAGGCTGTGGGTCAACCTATAGAGTATTTTCTTAATTAGTGATTGATGTGAGAGGGCCCAGCCCATGGTGGGTGGTACCATTCTTGGGCTGATGATCCTGGGTCCTGTAAGAAAGAAGGCGGAGCAAGCCTCTTGGAGAAACCCAGTAAGCAGCACCCCTCCATGACCTCTGCATCAACTCCTGCCTTCAGGTTCCTGCCCCGTTTGAGTGCCTGTCCTGACTTCCTTGGACAACGAAAAACATTGTGGAATTGTAAGTCAAATAAACCCTTTCCTTTCCAATTTGCTTTTTGGTCATGGTATTTTATAGCAGTAATACAAACCCTAACTAAGACAGAGGGCATGGCCTGTCACACTAGTTTTCTGCTGAAAATAACGCCCAGAAATAGAGCTTTCGTCGACGGAACTTCCTTGCTGGTTTCCATTGGGGGACCTGTTTTCTGTAACAGACTGCATTTTCAGCATCGCTGCTCTCCAATTCAGAAATACAAACACCACTTCGGAGACTTACTTTACAATCCATCTTCTGATTTATCGTGGGTGAGAAGGTCAGCTTCCAGATTTTCTATTCTAAATTGCCTCTGAACAGATTTTACAAACAGACTAAGGACTAGCTTTCATCTGGACCAGAACAAACTCTGAAAGTTGGGTCTCTCTCTCTCCCTTCCTCCCTCTCTCCTTCCCTCTTTTTTCCCTCCTCCCTCCCTCCCTCTGTCCTCCACTAGTCTATTAAAATGTAAACAGTCAGCAGTCCCCAAATTTCCCAAGTCAATTATTTGCAGAAGACTACACAGGTGTTGGGGGAGACATTAGAGTTTTAAAACTAAAAGGGCAAATGATGTTTTCATGGGCTAGCTGCTCAACTGATGTGAGGCTGGGGAGCACCCTCCTTTGCTCTGAGACTCAATTAGCAAATCAATTACCATCACATCCTGGCTGCCAACAGACTGGCTGTTCTCTCCAGCCATCCCAGAGCTTGGTGAGGTTCCCTCACTGATGACCAGGCCTTCAACTCAATGGAAGTCTCTACTGGTTCCCACTAGTTCTAGCACCAGGGGCTCAGCTGAGTTTAATTACAGATTAGCAGCCACTCAAAGCAGCCGCATCCCATCTTGCCCTCCAATATCCCTCGCTGACCCAGCCCTGGTCCATCCTAGAAGCTGGGCTTGGCTTAGCCACCGTGGTTGCCGATTGTGTGGCAGGCTGTCACTCTCAGTGGGGAGTAGATATGACCAGGCAAAGCAGATGGTCACTGAAGGGGCACATCCCCAATGTCTGCTGGGCAGCTGTGGTGGCACCTTTCAAATAAGTAGCAGGTTACTAGAGAGGAAAATGGTGTCCCCCTTCTCCATATCCTGTGATCACCACAACACAGCCAACTTGCAAACTCTAGGTACCCAATTTAGGAGTTTTCTGATAGCAGTGAGGGCCATGTACTTTCCTAGGGGGAAGGTCAGCCTGACTAAGCTTCCCAGAGACCGCAGTCATTATGATGAAGGTTTCCATGTCTGCCAGTAATTCCTCATCTAGGTTAACCCACCTTCAAAAGCTGACTAGCAAGCCTCCTGCCCATGCTTGCTCACACACCCCTAGGCCAGACAAACATAAACACCAGGCATTTGACCTGCTTTGTGGCCTGAGACGGCCAGCAGGCCTCAAGTGGCATTTAAAACATGTTTCATCCACTGTTTGGCGTTCAACAATAACGGAGTGTTTTCTTTTTTTCCAACTAAAATAAACCCACAAATGGCTATTTGTCTAAGTCCTGGTTCTGACCATAGGGCAAATCATAGAATATTTGTGGGTCTTGAGTTTCTCGCATGGAGCTCAAGAAGGGGGTGACCTGGAAAAGTCTAAGGCTCTTTTGGCACCCTCCAGGTCTCAAATGGGGAGGCGTCTTCTCCACATTTTGGCACGTTGCATTTATCATGACCCATCTCATTCGGCACCAACCGATGCGAGATGGCCTTCGCCTACAAGCCATAGGCTGCTCACCTTCTCAACTGACGCGTGTTCCTCATTGGCGACACTTGCTTTCCTCGGCTCGTTTTTAGACCTGCTCAGCCTTCTGGACACTTTTTCTCTGAGGAGGGTGGCGTATCCAATGTGTTCATAGATGGGATTTGTGGTCATTTTTGCAATGTACTCAGCAGCCTTGGTCTCTATGTAGAGTGTGATCAAGCCATCGGTCACCAGGTCGTGGATGGATTCGAACCTCTTCTCACCCACAAAGTGCTTCCCATCATGGAAGAGCCGGTAGTTTAAGGTCTGGTTCCCAAACCTGCCCGCCAGGAAACAAAGGATTACAACAGGTGAGAGAAGCACTGGGAAATGACAGCAGGTTCCAGCATGCCCCACATGCCAGGTCTGGAGTGGGTGCCTGCATCTGATTATCTCAGAGGTCCTTTGAGTTCGGTACTATTATGATCCATAGTTCACAGTACAGGCAACCAAGTCATAAAGAGCTGGGGCTCCCTGCTGGGGCCTACATGCCCGAATTGAAGCAGAAGTGATCTAACCTCAGGGACACATTTGGGAACATCCCATCCTGTCAGTCACCCAGGACACTGTGTCATCCCATTCTCATTGGTGAACTTCAGAGTCCTGCTTTACAAACACGTCACCTCAAAACCTCTTTAATGTCAAGCAGCAATTACCTCTGTAGTCACATCTTTGACTGCTACCCCACCTCTACCATCCCAGTTAGTGCAATAGAAGAGAAAACTCAGCATGGTGCTGAGTGGGCCACTAAGACTGGCATCCCCCAGTCTCACCTGCATGACTCCCTGTGCCCTCTGTGGGATCCGAGGAGACAGGAGAACTCTCTGCCTGCGCAGATTTCTTACTCTCTGCCTGCGCAGATTTCTTGAGAGCTTTTGAAATACTCCCTCATCTTCGAGTCACTGAAGACATGTTCTGGACGTCTCCAGCAGCAACTTGCAAAGCCTCTTGGTGGGGTTACACTATGGAGACTGTGTATGAAACACACACCCTGCACGGGCCGGCCTGGGGTGGCTTTCCACAGCATCCCACCCATTCTTTCTGTGGAGACAGCGCTAGTCAGTTTCCAAGAGTCCTCAGGAGGACTGTGTGAGGAGGAAACGTCCTGAGGTACACAGACGACACCTGAGTGTCTTAGCAATTGTGGTGTTGGTACAGCTCAGGAGGAGCCTGCCCTGTTGGCTTGCTGGCATGCATGACAGAGTCATCGTGGTGAGTCTGGGGTCATGGTGGCCCCTGAGAACTCATGGTGGGCTGCATGTCGGTGAAGCACTCAGACTGACGATCTGCATGTCTGCAGCCAGGTAGAGACCCTTCACCTCTATCCCCCCGCAGCTGGTGTTCGGAGACAGTGGGATGCAAAGTAACCTGAGCAGGAGTGACTGATTGTGGAGACTGAGCATCTGGGGTGAGGGGCAGGTTCTGGAGGTGGGGTGATGGCAGAGACTGAGCATCTGGGGTGAGGGGCAGGTTCTAGAGGTGGGGTGATAGTGGAGTTTGAGCATCTGGGGTGAGGGGCAGGTTCTGGAGCTGGTGTGTCTGATGCCCCTGTATTGGACACTTAAGCTGGTGGAGATGGTCAGTTTTAAGTATGTGCATGTCACTGTTGTAGGGAACTGGGGATATCCTGAATGTGTGAAATCCTGAGTGAATGTATGTTGCTGACATTGGCAGAGCCATGTCAAGGACCCCATAGCCTCACACTCATGGGGAAAATGACAAAATACACCCTAGTTCCAGGGAGGCTCAAAGGGCAACAGCAAAGCCATCCTTGGGTCTAAGCTTGAATACTGTGCCCAGAAAATGCCCACTGTAACTTTCTCTCCCTGGATGTTTACAGCCTGAAGGCTGCTCCGGTACAGAGACTGTTCCTACTGAGACAAGCTAGCCCCTCTCCGTATTTAGCTGTATACCATAAACCCTGCCTCCTTGTTCAGTTGTATGCAATAACCCCATCTCCCTAGTCAACACTATATTATAAATGTGCCGCTCTCCTGGGGGGCTACAGTTTCTCCACCAGGTAGCTCGATCTACCTGCTGTCAGCTTTTCTGTGCATCTGTCTTTACAGTTTCACCATCCCAGTCAGGTCTGTCCCTGGAGCATATTATAGTTTTTAAAAACTGGAAAAACTCATAGAGGCCACTTTCATGAACAGTGAGTGAGACGCAGCTCACCTCAGTGCTAGCGTGTAACATCCCGGCTGCCGCTGGCTTTCTCGAAGGATGTAGGCGCCCTCCACACCCCCAAGAAGCTCGTCAGCCTGTTCTCGCGAGATGATCCCATGAAACCTGAAGGGACAAGGCAATCAGTGCTCTGAACAGACCATGTACTATGTCCTGTGAGGACTAGGCTAAAAACGATGGTTGCTAGGTCCCTAGGCACCCACTGTCTCCCATGGAATGTGGAGGGTGTGCCAATGTCACACTCTGAAGGCCCTCTTGGAACTGCCTCCCCGCATTTCCCCAAAGAGTCGCAAACACAGGAAAATACATAGTCCACCTGGCTTTGCTTTTGGGCTGAAAATGGAAATCGAAATGAAAGCTAGGTTATAGCTCCTTTCAAGTCATGGGGAATAACAAAAGAGCAATTACCAATTTAGCTTTCAGCGCAAACACAGAGAACCATGGATTATCCTGATTGCAAATGAACACTTATTGATCAGCAACCTGCTTGCTTCTGGTGCTGGGCATCATTCATTTTAGGGGCTCCTTCTCTGGAAAGAAGGGCTGGCTAGAAGCCATGTTCTCCCAGTCTTTTCCATTTGAGAGTGATTGTTTAGGTGGATGCTTGGAAGAAGAACCTACTTTTCTGTTATCATGATAATGGTGTCTTTTCTTTCTCCATTACAGAATGAATGCATGTGTACACGCACGCGGGCATACACACACACACACACACTGTGGGACTTCTGGCTTGTCAAAGACTGTACTGCCCTCCTAAAGGCAGTTGTCTGAGGCATAGAGTTTGGACAGTGATTGGGGAGGTTGAAGGCAGGTCACTAGGTGGACCTAATTGTCCTACTTTTAAGTAAAGATGAAGGCTCACAGCCATCGCTAGTGATTCTTTGGGTTGTTTTTTTGTATGTTTGTTTGTTTTGAGACCATCTCTCTAGTCTTGGAACTCACTATGTAAAACAGGCTAGCATCAAGCTCACAGAGATTCCCCTGCCTCTGCCTTCTCCTGAGGGCATTCCCACACCCAGTTTTCTTCCTTGTTTTTCTGTTATCACTAGCAATTCTAACCTCTGTGTGTCTAAGATGAAGAGACCTTGAGTATGGAAAGAGGCCAGTGCTCAGGGACTCTAAACTTTTTGGAGAGGGGTAAACACCTTTTTCTAGAATTACCTAGTGGTAAGGAATTGGGGAAAAATATCATATAAAGAATTTTATAAAAGAGTAACCTTTGTTTTTTTATCCCCGATTTCCACTAAGAATACAAAGCTTAGTCTGGAGCACAAATGTGATGGAGGTGTGTATGCAAATGTGTATATGGAAGTGTGTGTGTGTGTGTGTGTGTGTGTGTGTCTGTGTCTGTGTGTGCATGCATGTATGCATGTGTGTCAATGGAGTATGTATGTGTGGGTGTCTCTCTCTGTTACTAATTTTCTTTTTCAATACTTCTTCTTTTTCAATACTGGTCTCTTCCAGTTGATGTTCTGGTCTGGGGCGGGGAGCATGGAGGAAAGATGCAGAAGCATCAATGGTCCTGTACTAAAAGTTCAGCTCTTAGGTGAAGGCGACAATAGCCTGTGGAGAAAGAGGTTTATGCTCTGCCAAGATTTGGTTTTAAATCTCAGGACCCAGTGCTTAGAGCAGTGCTTTCGGGGAACACTGGGGATGAGTCCTGAGACGTTAAGAGCGGCCCTGGCAGGAGGCCTGGCCACAGCCTTGATGAAGAACTCCAGAGGATGAGGACAGAGTGTCTAGGATATGACAGCAGGTGCCGCAGCAGAACAGAAGTGGGGCACTGGGGTAAGGGGCTCACGACAGAGGGCACAGGGACCTGGCACCCTGTCCTTCTACAGGACAGGGGTGGGCTGGAAGGGCTTCAGTCTGAAGGCGGGAGGGCAGTTAAGAACTAGCTTTCTTGAGCCAGAAATTGAAGAGATGGCCAGAGGGACAGGTGGGTGTCAAGAATTAAGTCCAAGGGTCCAAAAGAAGAAAGACGCAGTTGTGCGTGTCTGACAACGCTCTGTGATTTATGCACAATTTAACAAGTCAGAACATCCAGATAATGGTAAAAAGGTAACAATGGTTCTCTTTCAACGGGGAGAGTTGGGGGTGTTTCCCACCATCTATTTTTCTGTTTTATTTTCCCAAGGCACAAAGTATTAAAAATGAAAATGGCAGCGGCTGGAGCCATGGCTCAGCAGTTAAGAGCCCTTGCTGCTTTCCCACAGGATCCAGCACCCACATGGCAGCTCACTCTGTACCTCCAGTTCCAGGGCATCTGATGCCCTCTTCTGGCCTGGGCGGGCGCCAAGCACACACTTGATAAACGGAAATCTATGTGAACAAAACACACACACTCTTAAAAATTAAAAATATGAAAGGAAGTGGGAGCTCACCGTGGGGACATTCGGGATTGAAGTGTTGATGGTACAAGAACAAAGGATGTGAAAGTTTCAACAACGCAGAAACAAATATTCTGCCTCCCCGGAGACCCCCACTGTCACCCACCCTGGGCTTCATGCCTGAGCAGCACACAGACATGCATCCTCAGGGGCACGTGCAGTGCTTTCTGAGTAGACAGGAGAGAGAACTTCATTTTTTAAAACAAGAGGAACAGAACCTTGCAAGGTTTACACCAATCCTCCTCTAATATAAAATATTCTTTTGTGATTAAGAAAACACTTCCTTGCTTTCCTGTCTCCTTTGCTCACAGGATTTGGCAGGTTGGAAGGCAAAATAGAAAAGATTATTCAATCAAAACTTTTGTGTAAAAAAAGCCATTTAATAAATAATGTACCTGTGAGATTCAGACACAAAATTGTACGTGGTAGCTTTTTCTGTTTGTTCTCTCTTAAAAAAATAATTGTGCTGTTTGCAAGTAACCCCCAAGTCAGATGGAGAATCACAGTCACGAGACAACACAGTCTAGCTGTCAGAGGCAGAGGGTAGGGGGGTAGTGGGGTGGTAGGAGGGTGGGTGAGAGAGGAAGTCTGCATTCCTGTGTGGGCACTTGAGAGGAGCTGGCTGGAGGTTCAGATTCTTATAAGAAAGAGTCTGGGATGCAGCTGTGACCACTGGGAAGGAGCTCTGGGCTAGGATGACCAAACGCCCATTAGCCATGAAGCTGAGGCTCTTCTGGATAAGAGGATGAGGGGGTCGGTCTTGCATTGGCCAAAAGAGCAAAGGAGGTAGACTTGAAAGAGGTTTGGTCTCATCACGCCTGTAGGTTGATGTTAAGAAGAGAGGCGACTTAGATCACCTCCTCAGGTCATCCCACGGGCCTCGCTCTCTACGGTGTTCTATATCTCACAGCCTCAGAATGCAAATGCCTTTACTAGTCACAGTGTTTGCCTTGTGTTATTCTCCTAAGGAAACCAAGCAAAGCTGGAGCTGAGTTACAGAATGTGGCTGGGGAGTAACAGCGGTCTTACGGCAGTCTGGCTGATGCAATCAAGTCTAGAGACTGACCCTTTTGGTTTTCTGACACTGCAGGGGAAGCAAGATGCTTTTCCTGACCACTTGATATGACGCTCACGCCAGGAATTTAGCTGTAGTGTATGGGCATGGGCATTCAAGGGTTTGCATTGCGTCAGGGTAGACAATAAATAAGATGCTGATGGCGAGACTTCCATTTCAAAACTGGCCAGGCACCCAGAGGCTGGCTCCGAGCAGAGGACCTGCAACATAGGACTCCCCTACTTCACTACCTTAGTGGAAAGCAGACACCCGGATGTGGGAAGAAAAATTCAATACAAAGGTGTCTGATTGCATTTGTTCTTCTTACTAAACTCTTACACAATGGGCATGTGATGAAGACCATGTTAAGAATTATTTAATAGTTAATATTTGAGTGACATATGAAACGACTGCTTATTATATTACTAAAACACAAAATAGTATAATACGTACTCTCTTCCATAATATTTTGGTCTGTTTTCCACCTGTATTAAAAAGAAGAAAAATGTTAACAATGCATTTAAATTCAAATCAGCTAGATAAAAATGTGATTCAGATAAACAGCTAGTGTCCTGGTTGTAATTTTATTATAGATTCATTCACCAAACCAGAGATCCATGAAACTTTGGAATTAATCAACACATCCTAATGGATAGGAACAATCTAGAATTATTGCATTTTTATATTCATTAGACTCATTTCCCATCCAAACCAAATGAACCCAATAAAGAATTTTCAGAAAAGATAACAGTTTTTCCCCCAAAGAAAACAAAGTGTTGCTCATTATAACAGTAAGGGATTTATAAAGTTATTTTAACTTCATTCTAAAAGACAAGACAGATACCTCTAGCATGAATAAAACATAAGCATTTATTTCAATCTTCATTTAATTGTTTTGTTTTGTACTTATAAACAAACAAGGGTTTGCACCTGGAAAAAACATAGAGCAAATATCCTTTGGTTCCTTCTCAAATAAAATGGGGGTGCTAGCATTCATGTTTATTTTTAAACAAATGCTCAGTAATGGACCACAGTTCATTTGATACCAGAGGCACAGTCCATGGAGGGCAAGACTGTGAAGACTGCATCCTATTTGCTCACACGTGTCATCTGTCACACAAGAACTTTGCTTTCTGCTGCTCCCAGTATTGGCTTGGTAAGAAATGAGCACAGATTTTCACATTTGGCTCCTGGTCCTGCTTGGTCCACATACAGTTGAAGCATGTGAAGCTAGAAGTCTTATTGATGGCTGAACATTTGGGAGCAAATGCGTGTCTGTTCACTGGAGTCGGAGATGAGCCTGGCAGATTTTTCTGTCTATGGTCAAATCTGTCTACAGCCAAATTGACTGTTCTATCAGCAAGGCTCACAGATAGGCACAATCATTGAACTTCCAGGTATACCAGGCAGGTTCCTGGTATACCTCCATCTCCCTTATATCCAGCAGGGGCTGTAGGATGTTAGAGGCCATGAGGAAAGTTCAGAAGGATTCAGAACATCATCTCACAATCTACGTGAGACAAATCCAGCTCACACCCAGCTAACCATCTAGACACTTCTAAACACATGTTCTCTCTTCCGTGCATCTCACACCTGAAAAGCACTCAGTCAAAAGGCTGCTATAACTCTTGATCTCCGAGGTGTAATGTCTGCTCCGTGTTTTTGTGCAGAAATGGTTAAATGATCTAACCAACCAAAGCAGAGTGTGTGAAGAGGCCCCTTCTCAGCAGGTGTCTTTTCTAGAAACACTGTGCTCAGCCGTCACACATCAGTAACCTTTAAAGTATGAGCTGAACATTGTCACTGATATCACTCTGTTGACCTTTGAGGGTCTTATTTATGTCATACTACTGATTTCAGTTGCCACATCAGTGTGCCACAGAGACAATTTAGATCGAGAAAAGCTAACAGGTGTAGGCAATGCATTATGGCAAAATCTTTCTATTCTTGGAGGTGTACTATCCCCAAATTAGAAGTTGTTCATTCTCTAGAAGAAACAGTTTTCCCTCCTATCATTGTGGCTAATCTGTGACACAAGATGTAACATCTGAGGGTAGCTTTGAACCCTGTTCCATTCCTTCCCCTCAGTTCTCCCTCAGGAGATGAATAACTAATCAATCTTCTCATGTGGACAGCACCGTAGGTAAAGGTAACTCCAAACTCCTGGAATGTCAGCAAGAGGTCAATAACTGTTAAGTCTAAGAATCTATTGATTCTTAATAAGACAACAATCACTTTCAGTTCACTCATCACTTAAGAAAGCACACAGCACATGCATTAGGTTTAGGACTTAGCCTTTGATGTCGGATTCCCCTCTGTATGCTGTGAATATCATTGGTTAATAAAGAAACTGGCTTGGCCTGATAGGGTAGAGTAGAGCTAGGTGGGGAAAACTAAACTGAATGCTGGGAGAAGGGAGGAGGAGTCAGGGGAGAAGCCATGGAGCTGCCACCAGAGACAAACATTCAAAAACCTTGCTGGTAGGCCATGAGCCTCATGCTAAAATATAAAATAAAGAAGAAGGGTTAAATCTAGATGTAAGAGCTAGCTAGCAATATGCTTAAATATTTGGCCAAGCAGTGACTTAATTAATACAGTTTCTGTGTGGTTATTCTGGGAGTCTGGGATGTCAGGAAGTGAACAAGAGGCCTCCATATAACAAATTGGTACCCAAACAAGCAAAGGGAGGTTGGAAACACACTAGCAGCTTCTCACTACAAATTGGTGCCAAAGAGACCAACTAAAATCCACTTAAAACCTGAGACAGTTTGGGAAGGAATTCTAAGGAACAAAAAAGAAAAAAAAAACAAAAACAGAGTTAAGCCTGGCTTTAGCATCATGGTTCCTCTAAGAGAGGTTTTCCAGATTCAGTGGTAGCAGAAAAAAAAGCCATGTGATTTTGAATCGCTTCCTGGGTTCTGCTGCCAGTACAAACTCTGAGGAGGTTTGGCTATGGAACATTTCAATGGGGTTTGTAAGCAGAGTGCTACAGCTTGCTTAATGACAACACAGACCCGCTGTGTGCATGAAAATGGGGCAATGTGCATGGCACTCAGAGGCAGTGAACATGTCTCCACAATGCTGAACTAGGTGGAGCAATCAGGCAGGATTACTATGCATCTGAGTCTCATGCAATCCTACAAAATGAGTTAGGCAGGGAGAGCCTATAAGCTGCTTAAGTGGCAAAAAGTATCAAATTATTGCTAAAGCATCCTAAAAGATCAAATTTCTAAATGTTACTAAAATTCTCCTAAATAACCATTGAGCACTGTAATAAGAATTTTTATGTAATATAAAGCATTGTAGGATTGATTTCCTAATTGTTTAATACTCAGTAGAGGAATGCATATGTATGGCTCTTTGAGGTTTAGAGCTAAATAGACTGGAGAGGTCATTAACTTCCTCTCAAAGAGTAAGGCAAAGAATGATAGAACTGGATACCTAGTGTCCTCCTCTGTCCTTCATGTGTTCCTGTGAGCATGTGCAATATATACTATAAACACACACAAATATATTATATAGTATGAGTTCATACTATATAATAAAAATAAACAATAAATTCTGTTGTCAAATATCTGAGTGTTACCCTGCTGTGTACACTGTAAAGATTTGTCTTTCATATTGGTTTACTAGAACACTGATTGGCTAGTAACCAGGCAGGAAGCATAGGCAGGGTGACCAGACTAGGAGAATTCTGGGAAGAGGAAAGGCAGAGACACATCGCCAGCCAGACACAGAGGAAGCAAGATGAGAATGCCTCTCTGAGAAAGGTTACCAAGCCACATGACTAAACACAGATAAGAATTATGGGTTAATTTAAGTTGTAAGTGCTAGTTAATAATAAGCCTGAGCTAACAGGCCAAACAGTTTATAATTAATGTAAGCCTCTGTATGTTTATTTGGGACTGAATGGCTGTGGGACCAGGTGGTACAGATACTAATATCTGTATTACTCCCAAACTGCAACAGAGTTGGTGGTGCCCTTGGTGTGCCGAAGCTTATTAAACACTAACTACAGTTCCTCAGGGGCCAGGGATTATCCTCTATCTTTAAACTCAACCCAATCAGGCAACACAGAGCTAGGGAAGAAGACATCTTCCACAGGCTGGCATGCTCCTACTCAGTGTATCACAGAAAAGGTCAGGACCAGAGTCTTGCCCTCACCGTGGAGCTTGAATCTGCAGCTCGAAGAGGAGTCACTAAAGTCTTAGGATCTTAGAAGGTGCCAGGCATCCAAAATTCTCTGAACTGGGGCAAGATGATGGCTAAATGGCTAGTAAACCATTGTAGCTGACAGTCAGTGTTCACAGAGCAAAGAGCTCAATGCAGGGGAGAAAGTGGATGCAGGTCTTTCCTCACCATCAAGCTCCCTGCAACATGACCCTAGAGAGGTTATTAAACAGTTTTGCATCTCATTTTCTTCAATCTTGATAGTGGTACTATCAAGAGATGCTATTTTAATATGACAGTTTCAGAGATCAGATGAGGCATTGCCTATGAAAACTGCAAGACTTGGAACAGTCTAGGCAATGGTCTTACACTGCTGGGTGTTACTACATACTCTGTGTTTTCTATGCATTATCTCCTTAAGTTCTCTATTCCACAAGGAGATGAGGACTCGGAGCTAGCACCAGCCTCTGCATGACACCCCTGGCCCCAGAGCTTCTCTGCTGTTCCGGAAAAGACAAAGTATGTCAAGGCCTTGGTTGGCTCCTCAAACTCCTCATTTTAGCTAACTTGCTCATCTGGAGGACCTTGAGTTTCTCTTTGCTGGGGATGAACACCTTAAAACCTTCCTCTGTGATCTGATTTCTATCACCCAGTTAGTCAATGAGAACTCTGATAAAATTGCCTGATATTTTTAGTCTTCCATCCTTTTCCTGTGATTTAGAATTATATTTCTACCCAAATTAGCAGGTTTGTCCCGCAATTTATTTCGCTAATTTTAAGGAAGACTTTTCAGCAATTTGCAAAGCCCGGGAGAACATTCTGGTGACAGCTGCACTGGGAGAGACAGGAGGTATAATCCTTAAATGAGTTTCTTTATAGACAGATTATCTTTGCTTAGATAAACACATAGTCTTTTACATTCAACACAAAGACATTTAAAGAATATCGTTGAGCCTTCTGTAAACAAGGTTTCCAATTATTGGGGGAAAAAAAGCAAAGTTTTATAATCCCTCAGCAGCTGGTATATGTTAAGTTTATACTTAACAGAAATAATTTTAAGAACTTAATTTAGGAACCTCTTGCATGAAGCAGTCAGACTGTTGGGTTCTTTGAAATACACATCAAATGTGGGAGAAAAGGCCTTTGATGGGAGATTAGAACTGGTCATACTGGGGTGATTCTATCCACAAAAGCTAAAGATGGTTAATGCCTTTCTAATTAGGAACCAAAGATCTCTGCTGAAAAGGAAATAGAATAGAAGCTCAGGAATTCTCATTCTTCTAATTTAAGGTGCATGGTATGGAGTGAAAACTGA